CATGTGTATACAAGGGCACACACATACACACAGGAACACACATGCACACACATATACACACTATAATCTCTAATAAACACACGCAGCAAAGCTGAAGATACAGCAAACAAGACTCAGTGGTGCTAGCATTGGATAATGAGCTATATCAAAGGTAAACAGTAAAAACTGATTCTATTTCTAACAGCATTTCAAAGAATAAAATAAAGATTAATTTAGGCAATTTAATGTCCTCTGTCCTAAGAGTTTGACCTGCTCTGTTTCTGACTTCGGCTTCGTCCCTCCTTCTTGGGCAACCTCACTCATAAGAAATCTTCACATAGATGTGGATATTAGTGTCAACTCCTGATTTGCATGAAGCACCATGATCCCAAACTCCTAGACTCAAGTAATCCTCCTGCCTCAGATTTCCAAGTAGCTGGAATTAAAGGCATGAACTACTGTACCTGGTGATATGTATCCTTATAACATATTATTCAAGAGTATAAGAAATGATCAAAAAGAAATTCCTCATGTGTTTATAGGTTTAATATTAAGATGCCAATGCTACTCTAAAATAGTCTATAGCTTGAATGTGATCCTTCTCAAAATATCAGTAATAATCTTGTAGAATATAGAAATACCCTGAAATACATTTGAAATCTCAAGGTGGCCAAAACAATCTTGAACAAAAAGAACAATGTTGGAGATCTTACATTTCTCAATTCAAATTTACCACAAGACAAAAGAATCATAGCAGTGTGGTATGAGCATAAAACCCACTTATTACACCAGCAAACAGAATTCAGAACCAGGAATAAACACACACATTAGGTATATGGTCAAATGAGTTTGACAAGGGTCCAAGACTATGTTACTTTTAATTTTTTAAAACTGAAGCCACCGACTCTAATGAACTCAAGTCAAACCCTCGCAGAGCTAGGATGAGACAGCCGCTCTAGCACTTGCCTTGGCTCAGCTCTGCGTGCTCAGTGAATTCCTGCACAGCTGAACAGCTGTTCTGAAGCCACAGAGCTTCCCATCCTGCCTTGTACTTTACCATCAACTATGTTTGTATTCAGTTATCCAGCACAAAAATGAAAAAAAAATACCATGACACCATGACCTAGCTGAAACAACAAAACAATCAGTTTTATATCCTCTTGAATGATCATTTGTCTTGCCTGAATTTTGTCCTTCCTCATCATCTAATTTATACTATTTTAAAGAGTACTAAGCATCCCTAGTCATCACAGACATACAAATTAAAGTTGCTTTGAGATACCATCCTACCCCAGTCATCAAGAAACCTGAATGAAGTCTGGAGAGGATGTGGGACAGAGGAGTCTTTACTCACTGCTAGTGAAGCACAAATTCATATGGACATTATGCAAATTAGTTTGAAGGTTCCTTCAAATTAAAGTTAGAACTACTGTATAACACAGCTACTAGGCATGCACCAAGACCACAATGATGAAGAAAGAACAGTATCATTAACAAGTAACGTTGGGAAAACTGTATTTCTACATGCAAAAGAATCAGTCTCGATAACATGTCCTTTGGTGCCAGAGCGATGACCAGCAGTTAAGACAATCAGCTTGCTATACATTCATGAGGTCCAAAGTTGTGATGTCATGATGTCAGTACTCAGGTAACAAGCTAGGTTTCATACACAAAGAAATTGGAAAACACACCTTTAAAATATTGTATCCTGAGAACCTTAATCAGCATCATAGCCAAAAAATAACAACAAAATATACCAAAGACCTAGCTGCAAAACTAAACTCTACAACCCTTAGAAGGAAACATAAGACAATAGCCTCATGGCAATGAATTAGTAATTTCTTGGCTACAATACCCAATGGGTAGGTAATGAAAGAAAAATATTAAAGCAGATGACTAGGTCAGGATTATACCTAAATATAAACCTGTTAATAAAGAACACAACTGGGAAAGTCACAATTCAACCCAGACATGTGGAGGAAATATTTGTAACTTATATCTCTGATAAGGGGCTAATACCCCCAATATATAAGGAACTTCTAAAAGAGCAACAACAACAAAATGGATAATCTGATTTTTTTTTTTTTAGAGAGCAAGGGATTTGAATAGATTTTCTCCAAAGAAAATCACATCAAAAGATGATCAAACTCAAACGAAATATCACTTAACACCCATTAAGCAAAACAAAACAAAACAAAACAAAACAAAACAAATAGATGTTGACAAATTAAGGAAATAAAGAAATCCCATGCCTTTCTGGTATGAATGCAAAATTAGTGCATGTACTGCAGAAAACTAAGATAAGTTCCTTAAAAAATTTAGACTCAGAAGCAATTTAAAGTAAGGTCTTGTCACATGTTCCGTCATATGGCAGAAACATCATTCTAGGACTGGGCTGGAAGCTTCCTCTGGCTTGTCTATCCCTCAAATTGCTGGGAAGAGCTATGCAGATGTTGGGAGACAAATGCCGTTCATAATTTTACTCTGCTATGAACTCTTTAGTGCAATAATAACTACTGGCCAGGCAAGATATACCCACTAGTGCAATAATGACCGCAAATCTGTTAGGAGAGTAACCAACCTGCTCTCTAACTGGATCTGAGGCCTGCGCCACAGGAGGGAATTCACATCCGGTACTATAAAGCCAGCCAAAAGCCTATGGTTGGGGAGATCGGCCCCTAGTTAGGAGGCTACTACTGCCATTTTGCCATGACATGGCTGCCAAACTACCCTCCGAATAACCATATTTATGTCAGTGGATTACAGTATTGTCAGATTTGGTCAGAAGGGCTTCTGTTTTGCAGAAGGCAGCAGTAACTTCAGAAACCCACAGCTGCTCAAGCGCTGAGAATAAATGATCACTGACTGCTCAGCATTAAGTAGGGCATCTATATGACACCCTGGAAAGTTTTGAAATATCACAAAAGGGGTAGGAAGAATGTCAGACCTGGAAAGCAGGCTGCATGGGTTGTAATGCTGTCCTTCAGGCATGCATGTCGTTGTACTCTTGAATTTACAGAAGCTGTACAAGACCTATACCAGACTGCGCCTGTACGGTAGGCCTATCAATATCCTGTCACAGAGTAGGGAGAAGTTCTTGAGGCCCTTTCCCTCTCTGAGAATTTATATATTGTTAATGTTTCCTTCAATGGGATAGCCACTGGTAATGTGTTCATGCTCCTGGAAGGAAATCTTCCTCATTTTCCTATACTAACCGAAACGAAACCCATTCGGTCATTAGAATAAAAGGACATGAAATAGACTTGGGGAGCTGGTTGAGAAAAGGGGATCAGAAAGATGAGAGGGAAATGAGGTAAGGGTATAGGACTGAAATGCTTTGTGTCCATGTATAAAAACGTCTCAGTGGAACCTACGATTATGTATAATTGACATGTTCTAATAAGATACTGAAAAGTAGCATCTCAAAGAGGCATTCACACCCATGCTGATAGTAGAATTATTTGCGAGTTCAAACATAGAAGAAACCAAAGTTATCCAGTGACAGACAAATGACTAGGTGGGATGTGACTCACACATAAAATGGGATGTTCCCGAGCCTTACGAGGTAAGAAATATTTTGATGTATGGTACACAAACCATTGGCAATGTAATCCTAAGGGAAATGAGACAGTTGGAAAAGACAAACACTAACAACTCTCTACCTATACAAGCCAGTCAAAACCATAGAAGGTAAAGGGCTAGTTGTCAGGGAAACGGGGAAGAGAGGAACTAGAGAGTCATTCCTTATTGGGGATAGAGCTTCTGTTTTCCAGTCTGAAGAGAGCCGTGGGATGGAGGTAGTGCCAGCCCTAGGACAGTGTGAATGCTTAATGTTTCTGAACTGCACACCTCAAAATACTTACAATGATACCCTTCATGTTCTTTGCAAGTAATAAATTTAAAATTAAAAAGAATTTTAATATGTTAAGATGAAAGAAAGCCTTGTATGTGAAAATAACATTATACCCTAATGATGGGGATGAGGGTTTCATTTGAATATGATAAGTAATTGAAAATAACATAAGTATCTTTTATGAATAAAGCCCAATTATATTCAAATAAGTGCTTTTTAGATGCTTACATTATCTCTCTACTTACTATTTTTTTGCGAGTACCTATATAACTTTTGCCAACTGCTAAAGATTAAGAAAAATATTTTTAAAATATAGCTTTGAGAGGCCAATTATCTATACTTTTTATTTGATTTCATGATTCCTTAAGTTCTCAAATTTGTACATATATAAGTAAATAATTAAGTTAGTAAGCAAAATTTTTGGGCTATGGGCTATTAAGATAATAAGGGCACTTTTGACATAAGGGCGCTAGTCATCAAGCCTGATGACGTGAGTTTGTCATCTGGGACCTACACGGTAGAGAGAATGATCTCCTAGAGGTTGACATCTGGCCTCTCCACACACACTATGGCATGCACCACATATGGATTCCCCAAATGAATAAATGTAACTTAAAACTCTGGGTTCTAAATAATCTACATTTTCCATTAAATCACTGTTTAATTCTTGTGTTAATGAAAACTGCCTGTGTGTCTGAGTGGGAAATATGATGAGTACTCACGGATACAAATGAAAATGTATGAGTCAGTCATGGTAACTCTATAAACTATATACATTACATTATCATCTCTAGGGATCAAGATCAAAGTAGACATTGTACTCTAAGGATGCATTACATTCAGGTAATTTACATAGAAAAACTTGGTGTCATTTTCAGACCACAATATTTTATGAAATTTATAAATTTAGAAATTCAGGACTAGCCAATCTTTGGAATATAAAATCATCTTTGGCTTCTACATTCTAATAATGTCTACAAACTTTCAAAAGCATACTATTACATTTAAACCCGCAATATAGAACTCTCTCCCCGACACTGAAGCAAAGATGTGCAAGAACAGGTTTCAAGAGAACTGAATACTAGTTTCTATCGTCTTTGGAGAGGGATTGCTGGGAAAATTTCCAATTTGAGCTGCCCTTCTCGGAGAAAGGAAAATCTGAGGTGACCTTATTTCATCCATTTCAATAGGTGAAGGTATATCTTCATCTAGAGGTGGGGTAGCAAAGCTTTCTTCTCCAAAGGAGCCTGAGGTAACTTCCACAGTTAAGCTATTGACAGTTTGGTACAGTGAAGAAAGTTCACCACGGAGGAGGCTGGCAGAAGTTAAATTCTGAGACAGACGCTGTTCCAAACCAGCTGGAGAGTGATTTCTGCTCTGACTCTGAGACCTGTAATGAAGGGCATCTTCTGAATCCTTATTGAGTTGGCCATATTCTTGGCTATCAACAACAGATACATTTACTTGACTGGAAGAAGAAATAACAGTTGGAAGAGAAAAGATAGATGTCATTAGACTCGGTGGGTAAGACGTTCTGTCAATACTCCAGTGGCCTGAAGAAACGGCGTTTGTTTCCAGATTTGGAAAGTTTCTACTGCCATGTTCAGGATCAGAGAAGCTTATACGTTTTTGAGTATCAGTACCAGTTGACTTTTTAGAAAAGTTTTGAATTTCGTTCAGACTACCTGGTGGAGCATCATAGTTAATGCTATCCCTGTGACAGGAAACTATACTCAACTTGCGGGGTGAAAAACATTTTCGAGATTTAATCAAAGTAAACTGATCTGAAGATTTTGTGGAAGTTACGTCTTCCTGAGAATCAAAGTTAACTCTACTTTCCTGTCGTTTACTCTTTCGGAATCTCCGCAGTAAAGTATGTCTTCCTTTACATGGAAGTAAGCGAGTAGCTGTACTTGAGGAAGAGAATTTTCTACCTATCTTACATGATGAAGAAGGACGACATGTTATGAGATTCAGAGCCACTTTTGATTGTAACGCATGAGAGGATCCATGACACATGCGTCGTGGAGTAAGCCAATCTTCATAATTTGGTTGGAAGCACCAGTCCTCCTCTTTCCAGCAGCTAGAGTAAAAAGGGGGCAAATGAAGAAGAAAAGCAAACGGGGAGCTGAGTGGAGACCTAGCAAACTTTCTAAAGAATAGTATCTACCATACCAATGGGAAACAGCCACTAATGAGAAAATGGGGTGGCTAAGCTTAACTGGCCACATAGACGTATCCAAAAGGATGCACAGAAAGTAGATTACCTCCTCCCAAGAGCCCGCCCACTCCGTGAAAGCTCACGGTGGGAGAGGGAAAGAATCAGGGAAGTAGGCAGAAAGAAAAATAAAGAGAAACATAAAATGACATCAGGCATAACAGGTCCTAGAGAGTTAAAGTCACTCTCTCCCTCCCTGGCACCCCCTCATATCTGCCATGGATGAATCAAAAATCTGTCTGGGGTGGGAAGATGCTTCAACTAAACACACAGACCTCCAGCTATTGCGGGAAACTAAAGGCAGCACTACCTGGGCTTTTGGATACTTTCAACGTTCTTTGGCACCCAAAACGTGAAACACATCAAGTGTGTTTTGCTTTATTCTGCTCTGTCTTTAAGGCATACCTTAAGCATTTTCCCATACTGAATTTAATCCAGAGTAAGTCTTTCCCTTCTAGGCCATCACTCATAAGACGTAAAATGCCCTGTGTAGGTGGAACAGGTCAGAAGACTGAGTACTGAAGCTGCATGTGGAGCTGCCGTGACAACCGCACAGAATGTAAGGACAGAGACTCTAGAACCCACGGACACTGCTCTAGAATAAAACCATTCTGTGGCTCACCTTTCTGAAGAGCTGCAGTGTCTATGGCTATGGAATGTGTATTCTTATTTTCTTATGTTCAAGGAGTCAGCTGACAAATTAAGAGCTAAACACACAGTTAAGTGAAGGAGATAATAGGATTTCTGCCAGTTTTCCTTGGGACGGCCTCTTGCGAGTGATCTTCTACATCCCTGGTCTCCTAATTCCCCCCCTCTTCCACGTGAACGTTCTTTTCCCGATGCCTTTATATCCAGTGAAGTGGTTAAGTGACCCCTAAAGAATCTGTACTGAAGATATAGAAACGGGGGAGGGAACATTTAAGAGGCAGCACCTGTTTTTCTGAGCACAGCCATGGACTTACTGTCTGTAGCCATTTTCACACTTCAATGGTAAAGCTTGGTAGACAGACCCTGGATCTCTTCACTCCCTAAGTCTTTACAGAAAAAAAATTTCCTGACCCCTTTTTAGTTCATCTGATACATTTAGTCCTTCCCCCCACCCCCGATTCATGCTACTGGGGATGCAATCCACAGGCTTGCAATTGCTAGGCTGGTGCCTCACCGACACTAAGCTGCATCCTCAGACCTGTTTGTTCCCTTCTAACTGATAAAACAATGATATTTTACAGAACTTTCCACAGATTAGACAGGGCTCAAAGCATCACTATATATTATCTCAATTAAGACTTAAAACAACACAACACACACATTAACCAAATTTTAATTAAAATAGTTTTATTTGTTACTGAATGTTTGTCTGGGGGTGGAGTGTGCATACCATGACATCACAGCATGTAGGTGGAGATCACAGGACAACCTTTGGGAGTTGGTTGTCTCCACCTTGGGTTCCAGAGGTTGGACACAGGTTGTCAGGCTTGTGTGGCAAAGGCCTTTACCCTCTGAGACATCTCAGTGGCCTTACCTACACTTTAAGAAAAGAATTCAGGTTTGGGAAACTGATGTCATGGATGTAGTTGAAGCTGAGTCAGGATGCATGCGTCTGTCTGATGGATGGAAGCAGAGGGCCTCATTGCTGCTCGTGAAAGCTTACTCTTCCCTGGCACCTCAGCCCTCTGCTGGTCTGCTCTGTTCGCTCACCTGAGCACACACTTGTTCCAACAGTTCCCAGTGTCCCTTGTCACTTGTTCCCCTCCACCCACTCCTGCAGCAGTGGCTCCAGAAGGCTGCACATGCTCCTCTTCTCTCTGCCCACACTATACACGTGCTTTAGTGACAATGCCCACTCCTCCAGAACCTGGGCTTTCCAAGCGCACTGCTGGGATGGTCCACAAAGGGAGAACGTCCGCTCTGCAGCAGTCTCCTTTCACAGCTGCAGGCGAGTGAGCACTCGAATGAGCAAGGCCTCAGTCTCTCAGCAAGCCCTTGTCCTTACCAGGTGGGTCAGGCAAGCACCTAATTACACAGTATGCTAAGCACTTAAAATGTTTTGTGTGGTCCTTCACTTTTGGGGGGTCTCTGGTTAAAATGCCTGAGAGCATTCCTCTTCAACATCCTGCTTCATCTTAAAGAAAAGTGGTTGAAGCTACAGGATGGGTTTTTTCTCAGTTGTTTTTCTCAGCTGTGTCTCCAGAGTTGAGACAGTGCCTGGCATAGAGTAGACACAGTCAGTGAATAGAGGGACTTCAGCTGTGTCTCAGTTTCTCTCTCCTAGTCCTTCTCCTCTTCTCTTTTTCTCCCCTTTCCCATCATGAAAGAGAAGATCTAGTTGCAAATCAAAAATGTATGACAATATGCTCAATATAACTAATGTTCAGGGGAATACAAATTTGAAAATTATTAGTTAACATTTCATCTCCATAAATTTGACTAAAGTTTAAAGTCCAATGCTTTAAGTGTTAATACAGGACAGTAAGCATTTTCATAGTCACAGGTTTGTGAACTGGGTGTATTTTAAAGATTTATTAATATACATATAACCAATCCATGTAGTCTCTAAGTCAGCACTTCAACCACATGCTTTAAAGCCTTCTACACATGTCTAAGGAATTATAAAGGTATTCACGGAAGCATTAGTTATAGGAGCAAACAAATGATGATCTAAGTATTCATAGACAGATCTATGTCTCATCAATGGGATGCAGGGCCACATTTCAAAAGAAACACGTTTGCATGCATCAACACGGGAAAGCCTCAAAACAGAAAACAATGAATGCATAAACAGCTACAAAAATCCAATGCATCACAAAATGTGATTTCTGTAATTTTTACGAACAAAACCCCAGTTATTCCTTATATATAAGAACACAAGTACCCAGAGGAGACAGGGAACCTGTCAAAGAGTGCGCACAGATTAAGGTAAGGGGCATCTCCTAAAGAAAAGATCTCAATTACAACGTCACATTGTTAATAGATCTGAAAAAAAATCATTTTCTAACTGTAACAACTTTGAGTGATACAAAATCATCATTATAATCAAAGTCTGTTTGCCTGGAAGCCTAGACATGAATTTCAACACCAAACTGACCTGACAGAAGTCAATAAACGTAAGATAGAGTTGCCAAAAACAACAACAGAACACCTCACTCCTAGGCAAGGTCTGCATTCCAGCTCACAGAGATCAAAGTTAAAGGATTCTGCAGTAAATGTGGCAAGCTGACAAGCTCCTACCAGTCAGTGTCTGGGCTCCACTTTCAGCAGACTTCGTTATTCCTGAGTCAGCACAATCTAAAGATTGGTATATGCCTGTACTTACTGGTTTTCTTCTGGGGTCTCTGAAATCCTTGTAGTGGCTAACGAGTCCCTGGTGGGAAGCTGGTGGACATCAGGCAAGTTCCAAAAGGAGAGAGAAGGCTTAGTGAGGTGACTAGCGTAACGATATTAAAAACTATTCTAGATAGCCGTGTTAGATAGGAAAGGGTTCTTCCTATTTACTTAGTCTAGTGAATTTATTACAGTTTAGTCTGTTACTAGGACTGTATTATATGTACAGTCCTTATATGTTATTGTTAACAAAACCACCCATGATCAAGCAAGAAGAAGTACAGTTTCAGCGCCTGTGTCTAAAGTTTTGATACATCCATGTCAGCTATGTCATTCATAATTTTCACAAATCTTCCTTGAACTCCTATTACTTGCATACTTATCTCGATATTTAGAGTTTGGTTAAATCTTGTAATTATCTTCTTTTTATCTGTGCTAAACTGGAGGAGGACTGCTTCTCTTTCTAGAATGTTAGTATTTTCTGAGCAAGCAGACTTAAATTCATCGAGACAGGGTTTTAGGAATATAGGCCACACAACACTTTAACCTGCATGGACTCCTACACCAACTTCCGGGTCCCCAGGCTCTAGCCTCAAAGTGTCCTATCTGTGAGGAGACTGCTCACATCTTAAATAGCATCCTCACTGAAAGACTGCCACAGATTTCCACGCAGGCAGGGTAAGTATCTGCTTGGTGTTCTATACCTCACAGCGATGCTCTGCATTGTGGGAGATTTCTGTTCACTGTTAGAGTACTAAGCTTTCCTTACCCATCCTCATGAGAATTCCCAGGGCTCTGTTCTGATTTACACTTTCCATTGTATCTTAGATGCTCTCTAAACATCCTGCTTGCCTATTTTAAAACTAGTCTAGGACATTTTGTTACTGTGCAGGAGCACCATGTTCTTAAGACATGACAACTGACTCTATCACCTGTGGCTTCTCCCTACCACAAACCTTCAGGGTCGTTCCCCCGCTATAGCACTGACATAAGGATCCTAGACTGAGCACCAGCGGGCTGACACTCGACTATCGAGTTACATCATCCCTACTCTTTGTCTTCTCCCTTCAGATGACAAAGTCCACAGGAAGTGTGCCGATCACTTGTCCAGCTAAGACCCTCTCACTGGCCCTACTCTGTGAAGTCACAGAGGTAAGTGTTATAAAGGAAACCAGATCCCTGCCCTCAAGGATGCCAGGCCCTATCACATTCAGTACAGAGCCTTAAAAAACAAACAAAAACCCTGGCTATTTTGTTCTTCAAAAACCCTACCCACAGCCAATGTTGTAAATTCACAGAGAATAATTTCTGGACTAAGAGAATATTTGTTCTTAGTGTTAGGATTCAGGATATTAAACCATGTAGAGGTAAAACTGAATCATATCTATATCCTCTAATCTCTCTAGACTGGCAATAAAATCCAGTGCCTACTAGTTCCAAGTGGTTCATTTAACTACATAAAATAAAGTAATAATTACAATGAGTTAAAATTAAAAGTTCCTTTCCTCAAGTATACAGCCCGCATTTTAAGTGCAATTTTAAGTGCATAAGTTACACATGGCTCGTGGCTACAATGCTGGACAGCACAGATACAGCCAAGGTCTAACATCACAGGAAGTTCTATGGAACCACATTAGTCGAGGGCATTTGTATATAACAGTCACACAGTACTCACATTATACAACAGGTTACACATCTTGCCAATGATGACGTCTTCCCAACTCTTACATGATGCTACTAGTTATTTATAATAACCAAATTGTAAAATAAGTTATTCATTCTGGAAAACAATGACTGTCTTTCTCAACAGGATATTATTATTACACATGTATATGTATGTATGTATGTATATATATAGTATATATTACAAAGAAATAGATATAATTTAATTAATTGGTACAATATACATGAATGTATGAATATACATTATATATATATATATATATATGAAAAAAGGATGCAAACATTCCTTTCATTTCCTTTTAATAGCAGAGCAAATGACTGTGGATATCTACCTATGAAACGGTAAAAGTGAAAGATAATCAGCTCCCAGAGGGAGATCTGAGGCCACTTACCCTCCTTCACTTTCTGCTTCCTCTGAACTATTACTTGTTGCTGAACGTTGAACTGTTGTCACCTTCTTTTTTCTAGCTCTGTGCTGAGGACTGATCTTATGAACTGTTACCTTCCCTCCAAGTTCATCTTGTATACATTCCTCCAGCTTTGGAATTGTCTCTTTAAGGAATTTGATTTCCTCCTTAAGCTCTTCCATGTTGGTCAGTAACTCGTTTAACTTTTCCAGGATCTGGAGTTGCCTCCTTTGAAAGACCACGGATGCTCCTTGTTCACTGTGGCTTTCATCTTGCAAAGTTAGTGAATTGAATTTCTTACCCAGAGAAAGAAGTTTAGGAACACTTATTGTTGTCCTTGGCTTGAGGATCTTGTGGTACCATAAGACCAGCAGGCTGATTCCAGCAGTTCCCACCATGACGCCAAGGATTAGTTCTTTGTTTGTGGAATGGGGCATGTCTTGGCTTTTATGTCTAGAATTGAAAAAGTAAGAATGTAAATGAATTTTGTTTCTCTGTCCAGGAAAAAAATTGATGCTTTCTAAGTCAATAAAAGATAACCCTCTGTCATTAACAAAAAATCTGACAAATCACAAGCTAAAGTACACTATGAACAAGTGCCACTTTAGCTCAAGCCTCAAGAGCAATATTTGCTTAGGGCTATTATTGATGTCTACTTTAATACAGACTTTAATTCTGATTTTATTATCTCTCTACAGTCAACTTGAAGTTTGCTCTTTAGTTATACTCTAAAGGGCTTGAGAAATAGAAGTAAATGAATCATCAGCTTGAAAAAATTCGTTAAGAATTCAAGATGTCCTTGCTTTCTTTGCTATTCTGTGTGCAATTAACATGTGAGATTTCTTGGTCTTAGCTTATTATTAAAGGAAAGAGGAGGACCTTCCTTAGCATATAAGTATATAAATATACTTAGAACTTTCCAAACTTGGTTTCACTTCAATTTCCTCTATTTGATGTATTCATTTGTGTTAAAGTTTACTAGTAAATTGGTTGAAATAGCTGTAAGCTATCCAAGAATAGGAACAGATTATCAAAGCACTGGCATCTATAACCCTGATCAGACAGAAAGAAGTAATTCCTGTAGGGACTCCTGGATCTCAGTTGGAAGTAACTTCTGGACTATGGAGGAAGAAAAATGAAAATAGAACAAACAGGTAGGCAGTCTCACTCGACTAAATGGATAACTGTAGGGTCCACAGAAACTGAAGTGTCTGGAATATATGTGCCAGTGTGTAAAAGGTAAGAGAAGGATGTTGTGAAAACACACAGACTCTATGGGGCTGGTAAAAAATAACTTTACGGGAATTAACAACTACCTGGAAGGTGTCAGTTAAACTGGTCTGAAGGATCACATGGAACTGAGAAGCTTTCAAGATGTCAAGAAGGCTTACAGACTATGTGAAGCTTTCAGCAGACAGCTCAAAAGGTAGAGAGGCTAAAGGAACCTCAGAGTTATGGCTATTTAGACTCCAGCCAAAATAGATTAAAATTTTGAAAATAAGCCTCCAAACTATTATATTGATTCACAAGTGTTTTAAGGGCCAAAGATAAACGTGTAATATTGTAAATAAGCAGAAAAAATGCAGAATTCAACAATGTACAACAATGAGCATACAACCAGAATGTCCCATACCTAGCAAAAATTTACCAGACTTGCACAGAAGCAAAATGATAGAGATGATCTAATCAGCAAACAAAGGCCTTAAGAAAATCATTTAAAACATTTGCCACTTATTATAAATAAACTGAAATATTGCCACATTATAAATGTACAAACATAGTCATGGTAAAGATTCACATGATGAAGGGAGAAAAAAGAAAGTTTTAAGCCAGACTTCTTGGAATTTCTAGATATGAAAACCAAGATATCTGGAAGAGGGCTTTATGAAGTGAAATGGACAGCAATGGAAACACCACCACGGAAGGACAAAGAGTAGTGCACACAAAGACACAGCAGTAAAAGTCACCCCCAAATGCAGCACAATGGGGAGAAGCTAAGAAGCAGGACAGTGGGCATCATGGACATCTGAAACAACAGGAGCTTAGAGTGGGAAAAGGTGAGCAAACGATTCCTAAACTAAAGAGAAGGCAACTTAGTCAAGCAGAGTAAGAAAGCAAGGTGGACTACTATTCTGCTGATAATGACGGGGCACGGGGTGGGAAGGGAAGAGAGCCAGAGGAGGAGGAGGAGGGCAAGAGGGGAGAAGGACAAGGCTTACCATGGCTTATATCTCAGGAGCCATTAAAACAAGAAAACCATGAAGTAGTATCTTTAAAATGCTTGGGGTGGGGAACCTGTCAACTGGAAGTTGATAGGGGGGAGTTATTGTTATTTTTGTTGTAACAAAAGCTGAGACTATTATTACCAAGTGACAAGTGCTAAAAGAAATGCTAAGCAAGTTCTTCAAGCAGCACAGTAACCATGAACATGCATCCAGGCACCATACACCAGCGATGACATAGACGTGCAAGCATAAAATCAGTTTTCTCATTTTAAAATTTACTTGTAAAATAGTAGCAATTGGAGCCAAGTGGCAACAACACACCATAGGTTTATAACAGAACTAGAAAGCAAGAGGCAAGACAACAGTCCAATGCGTAGGAGAGTCCAAAGAAAGGAACAGAAAACCATAAAGATACAGATAAACCAGTGTGTGTGTGTGTGTGTGTGTGTGTGTGTGTGTGTGTGTGTGTGTGTGTTGGGGAAGGTAGGTGGGAAAAATGGAATAATGAAGATATTCACTTACCAAAGGAAGGCATACTGGCCTGAGGGATGGCTAAATATAAAACAAGCAGGAGAAAAGATGCCGATTATATAGAAAAATGCTCCCAAAAGGTCAAGAAAAAATGTTATTTTTCAATATGAAAGTTTAATTAAAAACCAAATTTGCAAAAGTAGAAGAAACAGTAGAGAATTATACAGATCCAAACAGGAAGGCAAAGGAGATGGTCTCGAGCACATGAGCACAAGGCTGACCTTTAGCCGGAACACAATCCACTCTTTGACAGTAAGAGAGAAAAGGCAGACTATGTTAGCTGAGATTCAGGTGAAGTGGGTGAATGTAGGAGCATATGAAAGTTCTCCTTGATTGTTTCTTGTACAATACAGCCAGGTGTGAAAGCTGGGGCAGAAATACGAGCTGGGCGTAAGTCCTGAATTAGGTTGTATACCTGACATCTCGCATCCCATAGCGAGCATCCTATTATTCCACAAACTCTTCGCAAGGCATTATTGTTTCCTGTATACTACATGGCCAACTGAACATAACGATTTAAGTGACCTATGGATGAGGGTTACAGAAAAGAAGAATCTCGTTCCGAGAGCTGTGTAAAGGAATGTTTCTTTTCAGATTCTTATTGTAGCTGAGATGGTAAAGGTGTTTGCTGTCAAGCTCAACTACGAGTGTTCAATCCTCATTCTCCCACGGTGGAAGGAAAAAGACAATTCCTGCAAGTTGTGCTATTACACACCACTAAGTAAATAAATAAAAGTCAGGAACGAAATTATACTCTTAAGATTCAAGGGCATGGACAACAGTTACTTCCCAATTTGGACACTCCATCTCTAATTTTTTTTTTTTTTTTTTTTTTTGGTTTTTCGAGACAGGGTTTCTCTGTGTAGCCCTGGCTGTTCTGGAACTCACTCTGTAGACCAGACTGGCCTCGAACTCAGAAATCCGCCTGCCTCTGCCTCCCAAGTGCTGGGACTAAAGGTGTGTGCCACCACTGCCCGGCTTTATTTTATTTTGGTTTTTCACCATCTCATCTTTAAAAAGTCAGAAATTACCTCAAATTTTGATGACTACTATTTCTAAGAAATTGATTTAAAATCCCTCTCTTAAACCAGCTCCAGAGAGGATCCTGGTGATTAATGGGCCTTGTCTGATGGAAGAGCATTTGCCGGTTTTTCCTTTTGTTTCTTTTTCTCTTTTAAACACAAATATCCTCTTATTTGTGTTTAAATAAATTGATATATCTGGGAACTGTAAATTTAACCAGTTGCTCACCCTACTCATCCAGGAGCACATCAGCAACAGAATCTAGTGCATTTGTAACAGATGAGGGAGTTGATGGCTCCATGAACATTATAGTATACCATAAAACTAAATATCCTGGATAGATTACCACAAAAAGCAATAGAAATAAGAAAGGTACCACATATTATGACACACATTTATATTACATGCCAATCATGCAGCAAACTTGATCATCTTGAGGCTGTTTTTTGTTTCTGCTTTTTGTTGATTAATACAAACACTAGGGTTGGGAACAGTTCAAAAGTCAGGTTCTTGCTTAGCATATATCAGACCCAGCATTAGATCCCCAACAACACCTCATTTTCCAACTGCCTTCTCTCTTTCTCTCTATCCCCGGCCCCATCCCACCCTAATGAAGAATGACCACATACCCATCTTGAAGTCTACCATAAGGAATTTTTCTATGCTGATTTAGTTCTTTGGCCCAGTCCTACCAGGCCAGCCTTAAACATTACATTATGAAACACACGCACACATGCACGCATGCACGCATATCTGAAAGCTTTTTTTCACTTAACAAGTAAATAAACAGAAGTGAAAATCTGACCAGGAGAAAAGACCTTATCCCCAAGACAGAAGCAGGTTTAAACACATGAGAAACAGCCAAACTTTTACCTTCCTTTGGGTTCTACACGGGCTCCAAATGATTTCTTTGAAGTAGTTCAAAACAATAGCGTCATTATTATTTTTCAGACAAACTGCTGTCATTTACCCAGAGTTATTGGATTAAAGAAGTGAGAAAGGTTACCCCTGGCTTCCTGTTTCCTAAGTCTTAGAGACATCTAGCCAGCCGCATGTGGAATCAGAATGCATCAAGCAAGGACACACGGAGAATGCTGACAGAGCAGAGATGGTCAGAGTTGAAATAAGACGTCAAAACTATGAAAGTTAACGGAAAAGAACTAGACTCATTAGAAATGGCATTTGTTTAAAAAAATCTCCCCATTAGAAACGTATGGATCAGAGTGAATTTATGCTACAAAGTGCTTCTATGTTGGTGATTTGAAAACTAACACCGAATAAAAACAGTAAGGTACAAACAAGTTAATTGGTGTGTGCTTTTGTGCTAATAATCTGAAATATGACACATGAAAAGGAGGACTACAAAAGTTGGAAATAAGAATCTGCTTGCCTACAGTGTAATTTAAAAGGTTGTATAAGATTACTTATATTGTTTTTATACTTTTGCTTATAGTAGTATACTCTTGTACTGAGTACAGATAAGGCAATTAAAAATTTTTGAGCAGACTTTGCAACTCACTTTAAGGTGTAAAAAGTTTGCATTTCAGATGCAAAACATTATCACTTTACAAACTTCCAGTTGTAAATCACGTATGATGGAAAACGATAGATATGCTTGTATAAATTACCTAACCAAAGGTTATTAGCAGAGAGTCACCTAGTGAAACAATGAAATGTTGACTTCCAAGAAAACTAGGACATAAAATGCTTTTAAAAGAAAATCTTGCGTTCATGACTTAGTTTCCATCTCTGGATGTTAATGTTCTTAAATTAGAATGTTTAGAAAAAGCTCCTAAGAAACACTCATCTGAATTCATCAGCTGGCCCTTGGGATAAGAAGGCATAAAGCGCTGTAACCCATAAACCGGAGGAAGGAAAACTACCAAGAGGGTCAAGAAACATTATGCTTTACAAATCAGCTTTAAGTTTCAAGTTTCCAAAGGAAACATTCTGAATTCTTGGAGGGGGATGGGGGTATACAGCGATGCAGAAAACCCAGTACTTTCCCACTGAATTCTAACACTCGTATTTCATCAGATTTTCATGCGTTTCCTCATTTATAATTTAAATTTGGAACCTCTTAGTACTCAGCTTATTTGCAAATGTTAGTAGTGCTGTTAGTCTAGTTTCCAGATTTGTATAAAAAAGGCAGACAATCCAATTTTCTTTTAGTTCGGGGAGCACGCAAAGAGAACAAGGTTGGCGCGAGGCTGAGGCAGGAGCAGAGGCACGGTCCCCGCTTCGATGGTCTCCTGATTCACGGGTCACAAAACCACCTCTCCAGAGCGCAGGCTCCCCCACGACTGTGGCAGGAAAGCCCGCGGCCCCCGGCTCGCCAGGCGTCAGGCCGCGACCCGGAAGTGAAGCAGCGGCCGGAAGTGGCACCGCCTTCTCTCTCACGCCCTCCGCCGTCCAGCCGGGGCCGTGGAGCCCAGCCCGCCCAGGTATCTCTTCCCTGGCTAGGTACGCACCCGGGGTCGTTGCGCGGGCTTCTCTGTGGCTGGAGCCAGGGAACCGGGGCCCGCGGGGGAGCGGACGAGCAGGGAGAGGATGGCCGAGTGGAACCCTGCAGCCCGCGGGTCCCAAGGTCCGGCGCGGCGGCCTTCGCGTCTGACCCAGATAGCGGAGGCGCCGGGGGAGGAGCCGCTAATGGCCCGGGGCTCCCGCCTCCTCCCGCCCGCACTTCTCAGCCCCGGCCTCCGGGCCTGCTTTTCACGGCCGGCCGGGAAAGCTGGGCCCCGCTGAGCGCCCCGCAGGCCGGATCCGAGGCAGTCGTCCCCTCCACCTTCCACCCGGTGCATCCGCTGGCCCATCACTGCCACCGATGGCTTCCAGGTCCTCCCTTCTCCCTTAGCTAACCCCCGTCTATAGCACAACTTTTAACTTTCCGTCAGTCAAACGCAGACATCTTGCACTATTTTCTGGTTTTCCTGACTTCAACTCTCTTTGATTTTCAGTGAATAAAATTCCCAGCCTCTTTGTACCCTGCTGTTTCTAGTTCTTTTAGTTCAAAACTAGTCTTCTTAGATGACTGGCGGTGAAGGTTTGCCCAGCTTCACATTCTGCAGATCGTATAATTTGTGAAACTTAAAAACTGCTCACAAGTCCCTCTGTATAGCTCTCACTTGAAACATGGTTGGCTTAAACTTTTGACTTGTTGGGAACAGCCTTAATTACTAGTCTCCACCAATGTACTGAACACAATTAAAAATGGATGCACTCCTGTTGATAAAAACACAAGAACCAAACTGCTGTATAAAGAGTCAGGGTTGATTGATTACAATATCTACCAGTCATTATCCTCTGTAGACAAACCACCCCTCGTCTCTCTGTAAGTGGTGTTCTTTTCATACGGGAACACACTATTCTTGGCCACTTAGGTGACACAAATCCATGGACTTTGATCTCTTTCCCTTGAGAGGCTATTCGACACATTCTCCTTGTTCCTAAGGATTCATTCATGCGTTAAAACTTTTATGAAAGGATAAAGAGTGTAAGGCAATATAAAACTCCTTCTGCTGTCTTTCAGCATACGGTAGTGTCTATGACATAATTACTGCTTGCCTGTGCCTGTTTTGTTCCTTGCTGAGTTAGTTCTAATTCCTTAATCACCTGTGACATTCATTGAGGGAAACAAACTGGTTTGAAGATAATTAAGTGTCCTGTCTGTTTTCTTGGCCTTGTATGTACGCTTTTCCTTTTGTTAGAAATTTGATAAAAATTTTATTGTAAAACTTAAAGATTGATAGTACTCAACTATTATAACCCACATTCCATGATTTTTCCCATTCACATATAAAATTTTTAAGCCTCAATTTCGTTGTAAACAGTACTGAACTGTAACTATTGAAGCACAGTTATGAAGTCCCTAACTACTATTTCACAGCAGCAAACCCACCCTCATTTCTCAGCTAGCTTGAAGAAAACATTTCGCAGAAAGGGAAAACATACATTGAGTCTTATGCCCAGCTTTCTGGCTTTATTCTTTTAAAGATTTATTGATTTTTATTTAATGTTCATGGATGTTTTGCCTGCATGTGTGTTTGTGTACTGTGTGTGTGCTTTGCCTACACAGGCTAGAAGAGGGGGTTGGATCACCTGGTGCTGGATTTACAGGTGGTTGTGAGCTACCATGTGGGTGCTGGGAATTGGGTCTGGGTCCTTTTGAAGGGTAGCCGATGCTCTTAACTGCTGAGCTTTCTCTCAAGGTCTTCTGACTTAATTCTTTACATGTACTTTCTTATTCTGTCCTCTTAAAAATCTAGTGAGATAAATAACATTACTGTTGATGACACTGAAATCTTCAAAGGGGGAAAAAGTATGTCCAAGCAAGTCCTGCAGGATAGGCCCTCTTTGATCAAACACTGGACTCATCCTACCTCGGCTGTTCTCAGCGGGTCTTTCATGATGTAGTCTGTATTAATTGCCCACTTCAGCTATTTAGGGTTCAGCCGTCACTGCTTTTGTTGGAAGAGGAACTGAACTCTTAGCTCTGAGCTCTTAGCTCATGAGGGGTGACCCTACAGGCTTAGCACTGTAAGGCACAGGATGTAAAAGTGTCGTGCTCACCACTTAGAGTCCTTTAGGAGTGAGGCATGGGGAAAAAAGAAAAAATGTGAAGTATCCAGTTAAATAGTTGTTTTAAATTTTTTTAGAGATCTCTGAAACACTAAGGAATTTCAAGAGAGAAATTCCAAAAATTATAACTGGTTGAATTGGAATTTCAAGATAATAGTTTGTTAAATATGTACAAGGTTACAGTTCTTAAATATTTTCATATGGCTAATAGATTAATTCAAGAAATTATTATTTACTTAAATACAGCAAAATGGTTGCCCACTATTTCTGTAATGAAAAGAATACAAAACAGCACTTTAAATGAGTGACAAGTTTCCAGTGTACATGCATACATATACATACACACATATATACATGTACACTTACTTACACACTTACATATACATTACTTAAGCAATTGAAAACCGAGTCAATTTGTTAAAAATATAACTACCTTATTAATATATTAAATTCTTATTAGAAACTTTGTATTTTCACATGTTAAAATGCTTTTGTTCAATGAAAACAAGTTCTTAGAAAGCCCTAAACAGTACCTTGCCTAATCGATACTAACCTTACTCGGTGGCTGTCAGTAGTTTCTCTAGGTTATTCCATGAAGTTTCTTCAGAAATTGCAGAAGAGTCTTTTAGTCATGTCCTTGCATGGATTCAGAGAACTATAATGGGAAATTAAAGGGAATTCTAAGAAGAGTAACTCAGCCCCTCCATTCTTTCAACGGGAGAGATAATGTCGAAGGGTGTCCTTGACAGACAATCCGAGGTCAGTTCATCCTTTGGCCAGGATCAAAGACACTTGGAGATTCATGAGACAAAGTAGAGTTAGCAGCACATGTGAATGAAAGTGTTTACGCGCAGTAAGTAGAACAGAGGTTTTCATTACTGAGTCTTGATTAGGGACAAGGTTGTGCAACCTCCGCTGCAAAGCAGTTTGACCTCATAGTTTTCATAGCCCCTGTCCTCACTTTATGCAAAGAACCGTGATTCCCCTGGAGGAGCAGATTTTCTTCAAGAAATTGTTTAGGAGATGGGGGGGGGTTACAATGTAAATCCATCGTTAGAACAGATTCACTCTCTAAGGTTACAATAGGGACTCACTAATTAACCAACCGTTGTTAAAGCTTACAGAAAAGAGAACAAGAAAGGCTAAATATTAGGGGAGGAAGAAGGACTGAATGCAGGTAATAGGTGTGAATTGTGAGAAAGAATGTAAAGCTAATTGTTTTTCCAGTTCTAACTGTCATGGAGTTTTTGGTTTTGGTGGTGGGTAAGTACATAAAAATATGTTAGATAGTGAAACAGTAAAAGCTAAATGTCAGGGCCCACAGAATCAGAATGACTGTTGTAAGTGTATAGAAATGTATTGAGATGTATAGACATTAAATCTGGTTAATATCAGTTATGTATTTTTTTTTATTTTCAAGACATTTTTGAATAATAAAGTTAAAAACCTTTTTAATTTATAAAATTCCATTTCTAACATTATAATTAATATGCTTATTTGGACTCTTACCCAGAGATGTGAATATAGAAAAAGATGAAAACTGAAGCCAACTAGTGCAACGACTTCAGAAGGAAGTCTGTCCCATAAATCCACAGTCCATGTGTATTCCAACACAATACAATTGTCCTTTGTTTGTTTAGAATGAGAGATATAAAACAAGTGATGGCCGTTTCCCTAAATACGCCCATACAATCCTTTACAATCTGTGTGGTAACATGCAGCATGGTTTGGGGCTGTATTCCATCTGAGCACTGATGTCAGGGAGTAACTCTCTGTGTGTGGTGGCCTTGGCAGTCCTTCCCTGCCAGCTGTGGTAGCAGCTGTTAACTGTCCAGTGGCCAAGGTAAAGAGAGACGCACTCTGCATGTGTGGCATCTACTTACCAGCTAGTGCAGACCTACGTCTTCCTTGTACCAGCCACAGGCTCTGCCAGGATTCCAGCAAAGAAACTCATTGTGCCAGGTGGCGCTTTGACTTCCTCACATGTGGCAAAGCAGCCCTCAGTCCTCCTCAGAAATGAAAAGGAAGCCATTCAGATAGAAACGCCTTCACATTACCCCTACACTTGTAAGCCTCTCACTTCCCCAGCTGAGTGCCAGGGCAAACCTTTGTACACAGCGGATAGCCAGCCAGCCGCTCCTAGAGCAGGAAGTTCCCAAAGCAGGAAGATAATTTGGATATTTACAGTTAGAAACATAGTGAGCCCTTATGAAGCAAGTGCATTTTAGACATTAAGATACTTTAGTATTTTCCTTTACTAAATGTTTACAATTATAAACTATGACAATTTTTCTTCCACTTTAAGATGAAGAAATGATCAATGCATACCATGCTACTGAGGTCATCGTGTCAACAGCATTGTACATCTAAGTGAAAACTGAACATTTTATTTAATTAAGACACTCTGCTACCACAAATTATCAAACATTTCCATTGGTTTTGCCTCCTCTCTTGAGCAATAACTTTGTTTAACATTCTTAACTATTAAACCTTGAAAAGCTTTCTCTCTCAGTCTATTCACTGCCCTCTCTCCCCATACCTCCCACAGAAACCACTAAAGCTGCTCTCAACTGTGCAGGGCAAAGGTCTCCTCATGTCCCAGGGAAGTGGATCTGATCTTTTTGGAACAAAGTTTCTCAATATCAGTGCTATTGATTTTTCAGGCCAGAGAACTACCATAGAATTCTATGTTTTAGAAGGTTTCTCAGCACTCCTGAATTCTATACACCAACAGAACAAAGACCTACTGATTAATGTGTAACATCATAGAACCAAATGCTTTAATTAACAACAAAAATAGTACCAACATGGACACAGTCTCCTAGAGAACTAAATGATGCTCAGGTAGGGTTGTTAAACAATGCCTTAACTTGGACAGAATATGCTAGAAGTTCTTAATTTTTTAAGTTTTAAATAATTTTATCAAACTCATTTTTCTATCCTAATTCTTGATACTTAGTCATACTATACCTTGAATGAATGAACCAATAGATGGGTAAAATGTCAGCCTTCAGATGGGGAAAGGCTCTTCACCAAC